TCTCTCTCTCTCTCTCTCTCTCTCTCTCTCTCTCTCTCTCTCTCTCTCTCTCTCTCTCTCTCTCTCTCTCTCTCTCTCTCTCTCTCTTGTGCCTTCGTGCACAGGAAGCACGACTGTCCAGACTGTTTTGTCGGACTTTCACCGACTCATCAGGAGGTTGAACCCCGACAGTTTACCCAAGATGCATCCACGTGCGTGTGTGTGATGTCATATTCGGTTTACACAACTCCACAAAAAAAAGGCTTGACTACGCCAGACTGACCCAAGCACCGATTCCACGAACACCAATGCACTTAGCACTTAGCACCAATTCCACGAACCAACCACCTATGCACGTAGCACCGAAACCAAACCAAGGATGAACCAAGCACAAAATAGCGCGAAAGTGGCACCGATGCACGAACCAAACACGATCAACAACGAAGTACCGAGCACAGAGTGGGAGAGAGGGCAACAGAGAGAGAGAGAGAGAGAGAGGGAGAAAGAGCGCTGCAGTATGCAGACCGTAGGCAGGTCGCATAGGTCGTGTAGGTCACCTAGACCGCGTAGGCTGTAGCTAGGTCGCCTACGTCGCATAGGTCACCTAGGGGCCTTGCTCCACTACTCTCGACATGCACAAAAGACAAAAATCATGGCGGTGTATCTTTCCATGTTTTAGTGGAAGATTCACTCTCGTTTTGGACATGTCGAGAGTAGTGGAGCAAGGCCCTAGGTCGTGTAGGAAAGTCTGTAGGTCGTGTGGACACGAGGCGCATAGGTCACGTGGCGGGCAGCCCAAGCTAGGCCAAGACCAAAGAAGAGCAGTGGGACGAACTGCCCAATTCATATTACCGGCCTCCCACAGAAAACCGGCACGTTCGACAACGACAAAAAACGGGCGACCAGTACACGCAGGGTGTTGGACCAAAAAGAAAAAAGAAAACAGCGCAAAAACAACAGAACAAAAAAAGAAAACAAACGGGGCATTCGTCAGCAGGGCGGTAACGCCCAAAACGTGCCTCCGTAAGGAACGGCCTGGATTCCAGGCCGATCACTTGAACACACGGCCCAGATCGCAGGCAGATCAGAAAGATTTGCTGCCTTTTTTTCAGTCGCGTTTCCAGGCAAGCCGTCGATAAAGGCCAAAAAATTGCTGCTTATCGGACGGCCCATCTCACAGATGGCATAGTGGGGTGAACTCTAAACCACCAGTCCAAGAGTCCTGCCACTGTTCATTTTTCTCGGGAACGAATCCCACACCAAAATGAACAGTGATCAGGCTAGGCAGAGGTGTGGAGGGAAAAGGCTGGTGGGCCTGGTGGGCCCAAAGAAAACTATGGAAATAGGGGGGGGGGGGAAACACAAGAGAAACTGGACTGGGTTACACTATTCACAGCAGAACATCCGGAGACACCCAGCCTTGCTGGCAGAGCCCAAACTAAATAGAAACAAAACAAGAGCAAGAGGGGAAAAAACGATTTGGATGCAGTAGCCGTCAGGTACATTCTGGAAAGTTTGTGTGAGTATGCCCTCGGCGAGCAGGTTCCCAGAGAACGTGGCACACAAAGAGAAAGAAAAGAAGGAAAAAAAAGAGACAGATTTGGCCGTGTTAGTTGTCAGATATATTCTTAAAAGTACCAGCGTGAATATGCCCTCAGTGAGGAAGTTTCCAAGCAAGTCAAAAACGCCCTGCTTCGCTAGCAGGGCACTACGAAGGGAAACAGAAACACAACAAAGATTTGGCCCTAATAGCGGCCAGTCAGGAGAGAACATGGGGGGCCTGCTCCCGACCTGCAGGTGGGCGATGTCGGCCAGGGCTCAGAGGACAGCCGGTAGCATCAGGGACCATGCGAACAGGACCAATCCCTGTGCCTCCCCTCAGGTGCTGGTCCCCTCCCCTACGAACATCAGCAGACTCTGCTCAATGCCCAGCGGGGGATCCGGTGGTCTATCTCTAGGTGGCGGGCATCAAGAATGCCCAGGAAGGTACATTGAGGCCAATGGGGATTAAACCAACGACCTCCTGAATGCCAATTGCGAGCCTTACCAACTGAGTTGCCATCTGCTGGCACGAGGTGCATCACTCCAGTTTGTTTGTTTTTTTTGGCACTTCAGTTACAAGGGAGGCTGGCACCGTTACCTCCCTCGCAGAAAGCAACGACGTGCAATGTGGACTGCAGGGTCGGGAAGATGCAAATCTTGGTTTGATAATTAAGCTTCGGTTGGACTGGTGGTTTAACAGAATGTAGTGAATGTAGTAGGTGTAGTAGATGTAGTGGAATGTAGTAGAATGTACTAGAATATAGCAGAATACAGTAGAATGTAGTAGAATGTAGTAGATAGACAAAAGCCAAAACAGAAACAGAATACACTTGTCAATAATTAATTGAAGCACCGCGCTTGGTGCGGGGTGCGAATCCGCCACGGCAAAATGAGGTTCAGATGTACTGGCCCTTTAAGGCTTGGCGATGATTGCTTTATTGTAGATGTAGTGCAAATAAATTGAGGAGCAAAAACGGAGGGGAGAAACGTTCAGGACATGTTAACTTGGGAGAGTGACAAAGTACCTGAGGGAGATATAAATTGAGGAAAAATTTTGAGGAGGAAAACTTGGGGGGATACCTGTGCTGCCTTATCCAGCTTCAAAGTCTTGTCTGTCAAATCCAGGTCAGAAATGGCCTGAAAAAAAAAAACACAGAAACAACACAAATCCTCGCCCAATAAGTCCCATTGAAATTTGGAACATAAAACAAAATAAGGTCCACTTGAAACGTCATTCACTTGATTAAGCACAAAATGTGAAGCTTTACTCTCGTGGAGGACATAATGTGCCACAATTCGTTAGTACTGGAGTGCAACAAGCAACCCAGCATCGACCTTCTGCCTTGTCCACTCAGGCGATGATCTCATCGTCCCTCACCAGAAAAAGTTGACGAACACAAATTGTCTGCAACTTGCAAGGTAAGCACAAATTGAGAAAGAGTAAGCCAGGACTAAAAAAACAAAAAGGCAACAAAGAATTCTGAACCCTCTTCCATCCTATCTCAAGGAAGGTGTGAAAAGAACAGACCTTTCGCCCACACACAATACGACAAAGCATGCTGCACAAAAACACAGACAGATGCCAAGCCAGCACCTCACCTGCTTGTAGACTTTTGTTATCTGCTCCTCCACCTTGTTTCGCTCTGCTCGTAACTCACCTGAACATAGCAGCGAAGCGCACTTTTGTCATGGAAAAAGTATTCACCCATGCAACTCTCTCTCTCTCTCTCTCTCTCTCTCTCTCTCTCTCTCTCTCTCTCTCTCTCTCTCTCTCTCTCTCTCCCACAACCCCGCACACGCCTTTCCCATGTCCATTCCTCTCCCTTCTCTTGTTGCTTCCGCCCCTTTCCCTCTTCTCTCCAGCCACCCTCAGTTCTCCTCCTCCTCCCCCTGTCTTCCCCATCCTTTCCCCATCCTCCCACTCTCTTCTTTGCTTTTCTATTTAATCGTTTACCTGTATGGGCATCACATTGCTCGCTTCACATCGTTCAAACAAGGAGCAAGCAAGCATGCACACGTGACAGAGAGAGAAGAAACAGAGAGAAAGAGTTTCCCTCAACCTCCACCTCCAACCTCTCCCCCTCCTCCCTTAATGCATCGCTTACCAAGTAGCTCCCTGTCCCGTGCACCTACCCATCCATCCGCCTCTGTCCCCTCTCCTTTCAGGCCCGACTAAATCCCGACCTCCCCACCCACGACATTCCCTAGGCCACACTACATGCTTTCCTCCCCCTCCATGCACGACTCTCTCCCCATTTCCCCACCCACTTTCCCCAACCTTCAACCATGCTCACATGTGCGCTTGCAGGTACCATATCGAGGTAAAATGGAAAAAAAAAAAGAGAAATGAAGAAGCCATTGGGAGCCTACCGTCTTCACCCGAATAGAAGCCCGGTCATATCACTGTATCTAGACTGAAAATTGCACCAAATACAGCTACAATGACCAGGCGTTCTATTCGGGTGAAGACGGTAGGACAAGGCAGGAGAGATGACTTGGCTTGCTTAGTTGAAGAGGCCAACTTCGGCAGGACTGAGGGTTGGTACATCCTTCCTCAAAAAGGAAGCAATCAAGGCCGCCCACTCGGGACCTCCAGCCGTAATGGGGGGGAGCCTTGTGTGGGTAAAATTGTATTTTCCGACTTCCCGGTGGAAAGGGAACCGGACTGCTGCTCCCCGGAATAGAAGGAGCATCGTTTAAAAAAAAAAAAAAAAAAAAAGAAGAAGGGAAAAAAAGAAAGAAAACAAAGAAATAAAAGAAACAAGAGGCGGAATTGCAGAGTACAATATTTCATTATATTTGCTACAATACACAGCACAACGAGCTGAATCCTTCACAAAACCATTCCATTCCAATTAAAAATTAAAATTGAAATGAGAGGGGAAAAAAAAAAAAAAAATCCTTCTCACATAGGATCAGTGACAAAAAAAAGGGAAAAAAACAAAACCTTATGCCCCTGACACAGGCCAGAAAGCCACATACCTAAGGCTGGGTCATACTCAGGGTCTATCACATATTCCCCCTCATTGACGTGATCCAAGTCTATGGCCGCTTCGACCAGCCCATCAAATTTGCCGAGATGATCCGGACCCGTCCACTCCTCCATGTCATTTATGTACCTGGCAAGGTATGTTGCAGAGCCACCAATTAAAAATATAAAAGAAGGGGCAGGAGACCCATCGCAGGTGGCTGAATGATACACTGACGCAACTGTTAACAAAACAGATCATGAGGTCACAGTCCAACAGCTACTCGAGACCGCACATGTGCACTGCGCGCTTGCACCAGAGCGGTGCAGAAAAACAAAGTGTGGCCGCAAAAGAAAACATAAAAATAGAAACTAAAAAAATAAAAACAATCCAGACCGCCAGTACACGGCCCAAGCCTTGTGGAAAGATATTTCATCGAATACGACAATTACGGAGGACCGGGCTATCGGACCAAACTTGGCTAGCAGCACCAACCATAAAAGAAAAAAAGTGCGCTTAAAGCTTGGCGCGCAGTGGAGGGCCGCCAAGCCCAGGTGAACTACTGGTTTAGCAAAACAAATTACATTTAAAAATTTGTTTTCGCTGCTTTAGTTTCCAGTCTTGTAAATTCAAAGAATACGATGTTGAGGACGTCTCATTCAGAAGTTGCTCGTAATAACATTGCACATCTACATCTGTTGCTGGATCCACGCAAAATAGCATCCATTCATACTGGCAGTTGGAAGGGTATGGGAGAGTTACCCCCATGGGCCCTACGGGGGTGAAGAACAAAAAAAAAGAAAAAAAAAAGCAAGTGCACTTCAAAAGGGGGAAAGAAAAGGAAACCAGACGAAGAGGATGCATGATTTGAATGATTGGACAGGGCAGCCGGTGAGATACCAAGTAACAGGTCTAGTAATATTAGGGCACAGTCGTTTTTCTCGGGACTTTTTCGGGGTTGTAATTTTTGAAAGGGTGTTTCTCGGATGGGCCATGGGATCTATTCAGGAACCCAGGGTCAGCCGCGGGTACCGGACGTGAACAGCAGCGGTACACACCGAGGAAGGCGACCGATGGATGTTGAGCAGAGGTAGGACCGTACGAGACTAAAAAGTGACAACTGTGACTTCAGCATTCTTTCTGGGTCCAACGTCGACGGTTTGAGGACTGACAGGAATTGTCACGGGAAGTATAGGCGGATTTCCCCCTGATGAGGGCCGCGTGGCGGCGGCCGAAACCGGTCGGGGTGCCATACCCGCTGGGGACACAGTTGTTTCGTGCATCTCATTGTGTAACACGTTGGAGCGCACCTTTGTGCGCAACATTGTGTAACATTTTGAAGAGCACCTGGAATTGCAATACTCGTGTATACGTTGTGTGTATGCATGACTATGCATGACTTTGTGATCTCACTCATCTCCAATCTGCAACTATAACAACTTCCCTTCCCGGGCCATTGCTGAAGCGCTGTCTCTTATACACATCTAGATGTGTATAAGAGACAGCGGCAGCCCAATGAGCACACATACGCATCAAGAA